TGCTTGGGTGACGCACGCAGCGGCGGCGGCCGGCGCGCCGCCACGCCTCGAGTTCAGGCTGGGGGCTCGTCGGATGGCGCGGGCTGCAGCGACAGCGGCGGCTGGTGGGAGCGGCGGGGGTGGCGGCGCTGGGGGTAGTGGTGGCGGCGGGGCGCTTGGCGGGCGTCGGTGACTGCGGCGTCTTTGTTATACATGTGATGTTACACGAGAGACTGACGATACCTGCGCAGACGCGGCCGCCCATCGGACGCAAAACACCGCGCGATGCCAACTGAGAGTGAGCCGTGACCATGGTGATTGTAGGGACACGAGCACGGCAGCGGTGACACCCCCTCCACCCCTACAGCAGGCAGAGCCAAGGCGGGCGGCCCATGCACGATAACATCAAGCCCGCCGGGAACGGCGTGCCCGGACGGCTATGAGGCGAAAACGAGACAAGCTCAGCCGCGCGACTGACATGTGACGAATCTATCAAAACGGGGCTTCCAGCCCTAGCGTGCGCGGGCCAGGGTCCGCCAGCGCTCCGCCGCCCCCGCAGCCGTGTACCGCTCCTCATCCGAGGGTGCGGGGTAGCGGGGGCGGGGCGACCGGCGCGGGGACGCGCCCTGAGGCGCACGCCGTGGCGTCAGTGAAGGTGATGGGACCCGCGGCGGCGGGCAGGCGAGGCCTGCGACGTGGGGCTGCTTGGCCGCTGTCTTGGCGGCGCGCGGTGGTGGCGTGCTGGAAGTGTTGGGTGTGTGTTGCTTTTCTCTCCTCGTCTCGACCTTTTTGGGCCGGAGTGCGCTCGCTCAGCGGACCGTCTTGGGGCCTGGGCCCTGCCGTGCGGGTGTTGGAGTGCATGTGTTTCAAGACCTTGCCTCTAGCAGAGGGGCAACAGGGCCCTTGTGTGAAGCCTGTCGACCACGTTCATGCTTGGCCAGGGGTTTCTGCATGGGTGGGTGGTGCGCGCCCCGGAGCCGCGGTCGCTGTGGCCGTGTGCGTTCTGCGGGTTGGCGCGCCCCGTGCCCTGCTTTGAGCGCTCGCATGTTACGCATGGGTCCCCGCTTTTGCGCGTTGTGCCGGGCTCCCGCCCTCTGCCCCGAACGACTTCGAGGTTGGGGAAAGGGTTGCGGCGTTGTTGCTTGCAAGATGGCGATTTCTTAGGGTTTCCCGCGGCCGCAGCCCTGCCTGGAACCTGTGTGGCTGCCAGATCCTTGCTCTCGGTGACTGGCCACAAGCATTAAGTCTGATTTTCCGTAACGAACGCAAAGCAAAGAGAAGGGCTGGTACACTCAAGCACGTCGGCGCAGTCGTCGATTCCGGCAGCCTCGCGCGCCATGCAGCCATCGCAACGGCCGCCGCCCGCGCGGCAGCAGCATTGGCTTCCGCATGCCACCGCATTGTGTGCACCGTCAGCAGCTCGTGAGCGAGCAGCCCTTCCATGAAAGCCGCATTGGAGAGGTTGATGAGCTCATGTGCAATGCAATAAGCTTGGCCTGGCTGTGGCACGCCAGCTTGTACTGGATGCTTGCTGCTCTGTTTATGATTGAGCCCCTTCAGCTGTAGTAGACTGGTGCAACATTCCTGATCGTAATCCTGATCCGTCATCGTGCTGGGGCACGGCAGCTGCCTGTGCTTGCATGCTGGCGGCCTGTGTGCTGACCTGTTGCCCATAGTGACCCTCGACTTGAGCCTTCGCAAACGACAGGGGAGCCCCACAGTCTGACCCCCGGGACGAGGGTGACGAAGCGCCGGCGGCCCGCATTGCTCATGCCGCTGCCGATGCATGCTTGTGGTCAATTGGCCTTTTTTGCACAAAATCACAGAGTTTGTCCTTGGGTTTTATAGATGAGCCCTCCCACACAACCAACGCTTCCCCCACAAGAAACATGCCATTGAAGACCACACAAGGACTTGCGCAAAACTAGCAACATGCGAATGCAACATGTTACACAAGAAAGAGGCACGCTGACAGCAAAGAGGTCAGGGGCCCAGAAAACATCAACGTCACCACCAAGAACACATCCAGTGCCGCAAGGTGATTAGCAATCATCACCCCACGCTGCCCTCAAGCTTGAGGCTCATCAGCTCGTTGACCTCCGCGGCAAACTCCAGCGGCAACTCATTGAATACCTTTGGGGGCAAGGTGAGCGGCAGGTGCGCGAGGCTCAGCTGAGTGGATGTGGTTGACAAGAGTGGTGGAAACATGGCGAGCCAGAGCTGCAGAGCCGCGTTGGCCAGTCACTACGCCAGCGAGGGTGCAGACAGCAGGCGCAAGACGCCCCTCAAGCACCAAACTTCATCGATCAGGGCTTGGAGCCACTGCGGCACCACGCACGCATGCATACATGCACGCACGCACGTGCGCGAGCGTGCCAGCACGCGCGCACATGCCCAAGGTGGGGGCACACAACAGGCTCGCAGCCCACCTCGCGACAGAACCCGCTGATGATGACCCCTACAGCATCCTCCACCTCTATGCCGCGCTGCTGGAAGTAGAACAGCTGGTCCTCCCCAATCTTGGAGGTGGACGCCTCGTGCTCCACCACCGCGCTGGGCTCGCGCACCTACATGACAGAGGTGGCCGTCGGGGGTTTCAGCTTTTGGGGGGTACATAGTGCAAGGGGAGGTGGCGCTCCATGCACGAAGCGCTGTGCAGGGAATGTGAGTGCATGCGCTCAGGAAAATCAAAGTGCACCTTTTGCAGGTGCAAAAAATCACATAGATGCAGGCGAGAAGTACCAAACAACACAGGATACGCGAGGCCGGGGAGTAGTGGCAGGCGGGCTGACCTGGATGTAGGGGTACGTATTAGCGCCCGCGGTGTCCCCGATAAGCATGCTGTCGCACTGGCTGTTGTTGCGCGCCCCTGTGGCGCCAGGCTGCACCTGAACCAGGCCCCGGTACGCGTTGCGGCTCTGGCGCGGGTGCGAAGGTTTGGGTGGGTGCCGGCAGGCAGTTGGTTGGGCAGCAGCGGCAATGCACACGGAGGGGTTTGCGGAGCGGCCAAGGTTGAGCTGCGCGGACCTTGAGCCGGGCGAAGCCACTCCCACAGCAGAGCGCTCCGCAAATTTTGCGGCGCTCACCCTCATACAGAAATGCAGGCCGCATGGGCAGCCGCACCGCCGCCCGTCGCTCCCAATACGTTCCATCCCTTATGCCGGAGAGAAGGGCGGCCCCACCAGGCCCCTGGCCCACCTGCCCCGCCGAGATGCCCTTCGAGATGATGCGGCTGCGCGTGTTCTTCCCGACGTGGATCATCTTGGTGCCCGTGTCGGCCTGCTGCTTGTTGTTGGTGAGGGCCACGCTGTAGAACTCGCCCACGCTGCCGTCGCCCTTGAGCACCACGCTGGGGTACTTCCAGGTGATCGCGCTGCCGGTCTCCACCTGGCAGGGGGTGGGCAGGGGAACGTTCTGATGTCAGCCAGGGGTGGGGCGGAGCTGAGGATGTGATTGTGGGATGGGGTGGGGGTGCGTGGGAAGGGAGTGCGGCGGGGTAGGCGACGCGGGTTGCACGCGTGCGGCCAAAACAGGGTGCTCAAGGACTTGTTTGGGTAGCGAGTTGGGAGTGAATGGTGAGCAGAAGAGTGGACGAAGCAGGGCATGCTCTGTAGGGCAGGCGACTGGCAGGAGCGGTCTGGCCGCCCAAGGCCGAAGTCGGCCAAGAGCTGGTGATTTAAAGGTGCATCCCTCTACTTGTGCCCCGTCTTGGCCAGCAATTTCAGCCGCAGCCCCGCGAGCAAGCGGGCCCGCCAGCAAAAAACCTCCGCACGTCAAACCAGTCAGGCGATAGCCACCCCACCTGCGTCCAGCTAATTTTGGCCCTTTCCCCTGCGCAGACGCCCCTCTTGGTTACGAAGTTGTAGATGCCACCGCGGCCCTCCGCATCCCCCGCGTACCTGGAGGGTTGAGTGGACGCGGGGGGGACGCAGCACACGCGCGAGTTGGCACCGCGACCGCGCCTTTGGTACGCCCCCTTGGCGCACCAACAGTCCGCCGGATCCTGTTGCAGAGGTTTCAAGCTCCTGCAAGCTGGGTCTGCACGGCCGTCTGCGGCTCAAACACCACTCACTACAGCACCGACCGGCCTCCTGCTTCCAACACCTCGCTTCCAGCAGGCGGCCCAGCACCAGCACAAACGCGCCACCGCAGGCCAGACCTCCACAAAAACGCCACCGACAGTGTTGACCTTGAGACAGGAGAATAGCACGACACTCCACAAGGCATGAAGGCTATTATTCAAACCCCCAGAACGCGCGCCCCCCGCCCACCAATTCTGCACTGTGGAGTACTTGATCTCGGCGTCCTTCGCCGCGTGCAGCTCCACCACCGCCGCGTGCAGCTGGTTGGTGTCGTAGGCGGGCGCGGTGCAGCCCTCCAGGTACGACACAAAGGCGCCCTCCTCGCACACGATGAGGGTACGCTCAAAC